GCCCCCCCCTTTTTGCGGACCTTTTCTTTCCTTCGGGGCTCCCCCTTCAAATGGAGATGGTACAGGCTCTCTGTGCTCCAGCCTCCTGGGATCCGCAAGCGAAGCAGTCCGGCAGGCTAGCCTTCCGAGCGGTCCTAAGCACTAAAAAGCGAAGCTCAAGATCCCGCTTGTGAAGCCAGATAGGAGGACTGCGGAAGGCTCCAATGCAGATGTTCCCCCCTTCCTCTTCTGCAATTAAAAACACACACGCAGAGCGGGAAGGCTGCGTTAAAGTTACAGAGAGCTTGCCTTCAACAAATCGGTATTGCAGGCAAACATTACTGTGGCCTTCCTAAGGGAAGCCCTTCAGAACTACTTCTAAAGACTGTTCCTTCCCGGAACTGTCTGAGATGAAAGTTACTGCACTGGAGCTGTTGCGGGATAATGTCTGCTGTTGTTCACTGTGATATGATGTTCGCAATTAAGGCAGATAATGAATGCATATCTCATTTTCAGGCTATAATTTTGGCAACAGCAGGTGGGGAAAACGAACGTGTGTACTTAAAGGCAACAGGATAACATTCTGGAATGATCCAGCATGTTTCTCAGAAATGCTACTGGTTGTGTGGAGAAGGTCGGGAGGCTCTGTTTTCTGTCAGGAGTTAATTGGACGACAACCAGGCAGCTGGGGAGCTTCACTTAATGAGCTGCATCTTCAGTCTAGGAGATAACATACTGTAAGCTGCTTGCTAAGAAGTGCTGTACACTCAACTCTAAAAAGAATAATGGGGTGGGAAGGGGAGGGAGAGATAACTGAAATAAATGGCAGGTCCCAAATGGCTGCTGAACATGGTGGGATGAAAACTTCGACAATTTCTTTCTCTGTGGCTTGAACTTGAGGGAATTCCAAGACCAAATTTAAGCTGTGTTAAGCTGTGAGAAGGCAGCTGTAACAGGAAATCAAGTTTTGAAATCATATTTGTGTATCAAATGTATGTGTCCAGTGCCAAATCTATACAAGCTAAATTAGCCAATATTATGAGGGAGTTCTAAATATAATTTTAAAGACAATAAAAAACTTTTGAATGCTAATTTTGGTAATACTGGGAGGTGACTTAAACCTAACATAGTTTAGGACTTCAGCAGTCATAATCTAACTATGGATAGGTTTGGCCCTTGTCATCTCTCTTAGCCTCACCCTAAATCACATTCTGGAAAGAGGCATCAGAGTAGAAATAACAAATACAGTACAGTAGCAGGTGAGTGTTTAGGATGGTGTGAGTTAGTGGTGCAGTGGAGTGTAATTTATTAATGTCTAGCACAGACTCAGCCAGGGATAGAGAGAAAACCTGAGAGCAGCCATACAGGCATGCTAAATGTGATACGCCAGCTAGCAACCCATATTCCCTTCACACTCTGTTATTATCCAGAAATGGCAGTTGATTGTCTAAGCAGAAGGCAGGGCTCGCCCAAAATCCTCTGTCTGCTCTGGCCATGAACCAACTATGGGTGGGGTAGGAGTGGGAATGAGGAAATGAGCTGTATCCTGGGATATATTTGAGCATGGGCAAATCTTGCTGTTCAGTCAAGACCCAGCAGATACCAACCCAGTGATTTTGTGAATGCTTGTTTATTTATTTCCTCCTCTGATGGCAAATGATGCACTGCACTTGGGAGCACTGCTGTAGTGGAGGCAAAACTCCTCAGTGGCCCAGTTGTCAGTGACAGAGATAATACAGGGAAGTTGCTGTACCATGTGTGTGCATTTCAGATGGAGAGATGCATTGCTCTCCTTGCAATGTAAAGACCCTTCTCTTACAAAACTCCAGCAATTCATATGATAGACAAGTTGCTAGTAAATACATTTCAAAGAATGAGTCATTTTCTATAAACTACCTTTAGAGAGGGAGGGGTGGCTTGTCTCTTGGAGCATGAAGCACCTTCTATTTCCCTCCTCCTGTCTCTGCAAAGTGACACACTTTTGAGTGCTGTCTGTTTATCCCTAAGGAAATTGTTGTTTTCCCCAAGTCTGGAGGCACAAGCTGTTGACATAGGCTGTCATTTTTTGCTTGCCCACTGTAGTTACAGAAGACAAAGAAAGAACTTTTAACAAAAAAAAAAGAAAGAAAAAAAGAACCACAATCTCCTTGTATTACTATAGCACTGAATAGAACATAGATTGACAGTGTGGATCTTGTATTGGCTATTTCTATTGTTCCAGTCAAGCTGGCAACCCTGAATCAACTCAACCTCAATGTTAATTTTCACGGAGTTCAATCAAGAACTACCAACATCTATTCAGCCACATTTTGTCCAGTTAGGCTCCTTTTCTCCTCTGCTTATTTCTGTTCACTTTGCAGGGTGACTTTTTAAACCTATAATTCAGTATTCCAACTCCCAGAGGTTGCTGCAGACTCCAAGAAAGCAACTTTTCAGTACTTGGGATGATGATACCAGTACAATGTGTTTTTTTTAATGGAATGAAAGCTTCTTTTCTCTAAATGAAGAATGATAAAAATTACTCCCCCATTTTAAATATCCCATTTGTTAATATGAACTAAATCACTATAATACTTGCACTGTATTGTGTACCAATCTCACAACAGTACTGTATAAAATAAGATACCATTACTCCCAGTCATTCTATAGAGGACAAATTGAGACTAAAAGATAATAGATTCTGCTTGTAAACTCAAATTATATTTTGTAAACATTTATTTTTAAATACATTGTCACACTTTTATACAATAGGGCATAACAGTTTTGTATCCTTTCCTACCTTGTATGCGTTTCTCAACTTTTTCTTCAAATTCACCTGCAATGCTTAGTTTCCCTCCAAAGCCTTTAGACCCTTGCTGTTCAATAGAGAATAAGTCAAAGTACAGAAACAAAGTTGAATTTTATACTTTTATCCATTATCCTTGCCCTACTCTGTTGCTAGTAAGCTTTTTATGGGACTGACATTTATTGGGGTTTATTCTCAGAGAACTGGTCACCAGAAGTGGTGCCAACTTTGCTACCCAGCCTCCTTCACGATAAGATCTAGGGGAACCTAATTAATGCATTCCAGTTAGCTCAGGAAAAGGTATATGATGTTACCCTTTATAGAAAGTATTGGCATGATATGGTCCGTGGCCATATGCATTCTCCTAGGTATTTTTTTTATTTTTTTGCAGTTCTTCAAGACCCCTTTTCAGACAATTCAATATGAACAAATTTGCATACACCCATCCCAGCCCCCCTGTTCTGATTTCCAGTTCTTCAATAACCCCAGGAAAGCTCAGCCTTCAAAAAATGTTTTAAGCAACAAAAAATAACAAAACAATAATAACACTGAGAATAGCACAGCTGATTCTATACTGGCCTGGAATACTAGATGCATCGCCTCCTTTAACCCTCCCTGCTACCACATCCCTACATAGCATGAAATGTTATGTTGGCTCTTTGTTGGATGGAGAAAATGAAAGGGGGATTGAGGAAATGCAGCATTTCTCACCTAGTAACAGCCATTCTATTAGGCTAGCCCAACCATTTTTATCACTGCTGGTCATTAGAGAACTGCTATTTTAAGAACTAGTGCCTAGCTTTTCCTTTTTTTTTTTTTAACCTTCCTCCCATCCCATCTCCTTTTCTTTGAATACTACATTTTTCAGACCGTGTGCCTATGGAAAGGGCTATAACAATAATGGTATTTGCAAACTGCTCTGAGAAGCCTTTTTGGCTAAATAAATAAATAAGAATAAATAAATTTAAATATATAAGAATATAAATATATAAGAACTCTTGTGTAGCTACTACTATTGCACAGACCAGGTATAATGGCAATGCATTTCCCAAACAACATTCTAACTCTTAAGTCTGACAAAATGGACACATTCCACAAAAGCTTACATTCAAATATATCAGTCTTTAGGGCACCACAATGTCTTTTTTGCTTTTGTTTTGTTTTGTTTTGTGTTTCTTGTTGAAATGCTTGCACAGACTAACCATGGCTACAACTTCAAAAGCATGGTATATTACTGTACTCTGAAGAAAGAAGTGAGAAATAGCCTGAACACAAAGATCCAGCTTATACGTATTTTCTCGAATGTAAAAAAGGACTGGATTACTCAAAATTAAGAATGCACAGAAAATTCTGAAAGCATCTAGAATCGTTTGCATGTAGCAGTGGAAATAATACCGCTAATTATGATGATAATGAAAATACACACAGCTGCACTAAAGCACTCCATTGGGAGCTCATTGTCCTGTTCTAGCTCCATATTCTGCACTTGAGGAAAGTGAATCAAATGGCTACATTGTGATTGCAAAATGGCAACATAATTGCCCACAAAAGGAAGGTGGAAGAAAATGAAATCATAGTGAGTACAAAATGGGTGTGTGTGCAAAAGTGACACAAAAACACTTGTTTTAGAGGGATGGTTCCAAGCAACTATCCATGTGTCTTTTCCACCAGCAGGCAAACAACCTTTTGCATTCAGGTAGATTTCTGGGAACCAATCTCACCCAATACAGAGAAAGCTCTTAAATGGATGGATAGTGATTTTTTTTTAAA